CGTCAATACGCTCATCTTCATCATTGAAATGTACGATCCGCCACTCGCGCGATGCGCGCTCATGTACACGTAGCGCGGAGAATGGCTGGACCGTCGAGAGCCTCAAGGTGAACCCGCTTATTGGCCCGAGCGCCCAAGTGCTTCTGTCGATGGTACTGCGATCGACAACGCATCCGGCATGGCTCATGCAGCGGCGCGTAGGGTGCCCAGCGCACGGATCTCATCAAAGACGGCGCTTGGTGGCGCCTCTTCACGGCCATGTTCCTCCATGCTGGCGTTGTCCATCTTCTCTTCAACATGGCCGCGCTCTACCAGCTGGGCATGGAACTCGAGTCGACCTTTGATCGCCGGCGCATCGCGACCATCTACTTTGCCACCGGTATCATTGGCGCCATCGTCTCGGGCGTATGCCGACCTCCTCCTCCTCGGCGTGAACTCATTTCGACGCTAGTTTTTCGTGCCCGATGTCGTTGGCGTCGGTGCGTCCGGTGCGATCTTTGGCCTCTTTGGCGCTACGTTTGCCGAGTTTATGCTCAACTGGAAGCTGTACACGAACCGCGTGTGCCACATGGTAGCCCGAATCCGCCTTGTCTAGGATCATCTCACGAGAGACGATGGGTTAGACCAACTTGGTGGTCGTCGCCCTTGTGAACCTTGGCATTGGGTTGCTTCCGTTTGTCAACAACTTTGCCCATCTCTCGGGCTTCATTGTACGCAGTTGACTTCCATGGCTGCAAAGTATCAACTTGAAAGTGTAGAGCGGTCTGAGCCTGGGCTTTGCGATGCTGAGCCTGCCGCTGAGTCGCCAAGACCGCATCATGGGGACGCGCTCGAAGAAGCAGCGGCTGCTCGGGTATGGCGGCCTGCTCTTCACGGCGTTTTTTGCGATCCTCTTCATCGCTCTCTTTACAAGCAACGTATGTGTGTGCCCTTGCACTGGACATGGACTTGAGAGTGAGGAATGTTAGACGAACGCCATGACGGCGTGTCCGTGGTGCAAGTACCTCGACTGCATTCCCGCGCCCTGGTACGTCACAAAGGATCACACGAGGGAGCTCACATGCGAAATGCAGGTGGAGCTGCGATGCCACCACGAGTGGCGAGTGCTTGGGCGAAAAGTTCAACAATGGCACGCTGCGGGTGACGTGCCCGAGCGGCCGCAACGTGACGGCGCCGACCAAGAGCGAGTTTACGGCCGCGCTCTGTACATCGCTTTGTTCGTAAACTGCACCATCTTCATGTACCCTGCAACCCTAATCCCTCTAAACCGAGACACTTCAAAAATGCATGGAGCGCCATGCCCATGGCTGTAAACATTAGAGTCAAACGCATCGCATGTGACCATCGAGAGGATGAAAAGGCAGTGAGGAATGACAACGGCACCCTGACAGCTCACCCCGAAAGTGCACTGAATGCGCGAGGAGGCGGTACAGACAACCAATCGAGTGGTGCTATAATTCACTCCTGCCGACGCACGAGGACCATCCTTGCTTGGTGACGGGATCGTGTCGAGAGACGCTTCTCGGCGTCCTCGTACTTTAGCATTTTGAAAATAAGAAATAAATTAGTCGAGTTGTTTTCTGCGAATGCACCCAAAGGAATAATTCTATGCACGTGCATGCAGCCGTCGTCACGCTGTTGGCGGCGAGGGCTCAAAGAGCGCTGCGAACGAGCAAGTGGTTGCTTCGGGTCGCCGCACGCAGTCGCGCAACGGGCTGAGGCTGATGGTGGACGGCATCTGAAGCGCCGACACTTTGGCATGCGTTAGCGGTGGAAGCGGGTGTAGCAAAGGCGGCGAGTGGGGCGTCGACGGCGGTGACGTCTTGGCATGGGCTTTGCACTTGCCCTTGATTTGTGAGAACTTTTCGCAGCCGTCAATCGCTAGTTGCACATATCTCGTCTTATTACTGTTCACTTGTAGACGTTGTACCGCACTTGCGACCTCCGCCGTGGGCGATGCAGTACCCCTTGCTCTGCGCGAGCTTATCGCACGACTCGATGTGGCACTTGCGGCCGCCGCCATGCGCGATGCAGTGACCGCGGCTCTGCGCGAGCTTGATGCACGCCTCGACCTTGCAGCGCGTGCCGCCGCCGTGGGCTACAGACATGCTCGTATAAATCTGTCGAGAGCAGGATCAAGAGGATTACCTTTGCATCGCCCGCGGGTCTGGGCGAATTTGGTGCAGCCCTTGAATTGGCACAGAGCGCGGCGCGTCGCAGCAGCCTTTGGGTCGTGGTGCGCCATAAAACGATGTGGTAGCGTGTTGGTTGTGCGTGTTGTTTTCGAAAATGGCAAGATCGCTGCGATGTACATGCCGTCGAATTCGTGGAAAACGTCCTAGCCAGCTGGCGTCGTGTCCACATGGTTCCTCACACTTTCGACCGTTGCGTAGTGTCGAAGATGCGTCTCGGTGTTGACTCTGCTGCCGTCGATCTCGAGCGACTTTGGCTATATTCATCCGTGCGTGGCGGAGGAATTGACACCAACGCGTCTCGTGCCGCCACGTCATGCCGATGACACGCACGAAACGTTGCGTGCGAATAGCCAATTCGAAAACCAGCCAATCCACGTCGACGATAGCCATGGAGATAGCCAATGGCATCGCAGCCTTCTGTCGGCTTGCAATATCCGCGCAAAGTGGACGAGCTTCGTGCGCGAAGTCTCTGTACCAGTCGACATGGGCACGAGCAGCGCCATGCCTATCGAGACGGCATTTGTCGTCGAAAAGAACAACTTGCTTGACCGCGCCGCAGCAACATTGCGTCCAGCGCGCACACGCCCGAGCATCAAGTGATGTTAGCGCTCTTGGACCAGCTCCCCTTGCAAATTGCAGAGGTCATCATCGCCCACGCACTACGTGTCTACATTGTGTGCGACAACAACGAGCCGGCGACGCTCGAGCTGTGCTAAATGTACGTTCGCCAAGGAGCATTTTTTCCACCATCCTGCCGGCCTTGTCGTGTACACCGACGTACCGCCCAATGACGCATGGCATGTCAAAGTCCTCGAAGGCCTCTACCAAAAGCACACCGACGACTGCAGATCGTGGAACACTTCGGTCGCTGACTTTAACGCCGAGGCCCTGCGCGCCGCCGCCCGCTCCGTAAGCTGCGCCCTCGGTTGTACTCCGGACCATGGCGGTCGCGCGTGCCCCGCCCACTATTCTCGAGTGTAGCGATCGACTCGGAAAGCTCCAAGCGAGCTTCGATGAAGCGGCCTTTCGGACAACCGCGGCCGACATTGCACCCTGAGCGTGTCTTGTCGACTCCATTTCCTTGTATTACTACCCAGTACTCCTTATTCGGTGACGATTCTTGTTTTGAATCGACTCGATTGTCCTTTATAGCGCCGTCTAGTGCTATCGAGTCGCATCGGCGGCCAGATTCATGGCCGGCGCCAGGAATGTATTAACGTGATGATATGATTGTGACGCTCAGGCTCCTCTCGTACATGCGCGACGACGTCATTGCCCTCGACCCGCCTTTGTGTTTGGCGAACCGCAAGGCCGACACATGTCTCGCTCGATCGACACCCATAAAGAACGCGCTTTCGAGGCATCCTCGTCGCACGTTAATAGCGTGCGAGCACGGGATCGACATCCCAACCAGCGCGATCGCGGTCGATTGCCACGTCGCGCGGCTGTTGTTTCGTAGCGACGGATCTGGGTTGCCGCCTGTCCACGCTCCACGTCCATAATACCGGTCATCCGATGCCACTTGGTGTTTGTATGCAATAATATTTCCAGTTTGCACTTGGTTGTGATTGGCCCATCCGTGTTAGCAAGTCGAAAAGAACCGTCTCTAGCGGGTCATGCTGATGCGCCCACTCTGTCATCCGACTCATTCGCATGGGACGACGCGTGCTTGTGCCGCTTCTGCTCGCAGCAGCGTCGCCTGGCGTCTTGGCCGAGGACGGCGATAGCCACCTCATCACGGTCGTGCTCATCGGCGTCGGCGTCGGGCTCGTCGTTGCCGTCGGTCTCATCGTTGTCTTGCGCAAGTGCTGCAGACGCCGCGCCAAGGCGCCGCAGTTTCGAGGACTTTGTCGACCCGATGGACGTTGTGGAGGCGCCACGCCCGCGAAAACGCATACATGCGCCGCGCTTCCACC